CAGATAGAGACTCAAGGTTTCTATCAAAGTTTTGGCAAAAAGTACAAGAGAACCTTGGAACAACATTGAAGATGAGTACTGCCTTTCATCCTGCAATAGATGGTCAGACTGAGAAAATAAACCAAACCATTGAGGATAGCTACGAGCTTGTGCTTTAGATTTCCAAGGGAATTGGTAGGATCACCTACCTTTGATCATATTCTCCTACAATAACAGTTACCATGCAAGCATCAAGATGGAACCATTTGAAGCATTGTATGGAAGGAAGTGCAGAAGCCCAGTTTGCTGGAATGACTACAGTAAACGGGTAACCTTAGGAACAGAGTTCATTGAGGATATGGTGAGCAAGGTGAGACTAATCCAGTCGCTTATAAAAGTAGCACAAGATAGACAGAAGAGTTATGCCGACTTGAAGATAAGGGATGATGAGTTTAGTGTTGGGGACAAGGTATTTCTAAAGGTTTCTCCAACAAAATGTGTGATGCGATTTGGCAAGAAAGGGAAGCTTAGTGCAAAATATGTGCGTCCGTATGAAATTCTCCAACGTGTGGGGAAAGTGGCTTATTGATGAGTGTCATTTATGGCACCCAATTCGCTTCTTTTAGGATGAATTTCATGCTATTTTATAGCTTTTTTCTTTAGTTTTCCTTAGTTTTGTTCTTTATTTCTTTAGTTTGTGCTTTCCTTAGTTAGTTTTCTTTCTTTGTGCATTTCTTTTTTTATTTGGTCTTTTTCCCTTTTATTTGCTTGTTTTCGTGTATTTTCAAGTTATGATCGTGTTCCGGGGATTCTCGAGCCTTCCTCTCATATTTCTCATCATTTTGGATGCCTCTTGCATATCATTTGGAGCTCAAGTTTGAAGGAATGCAAGGAGCAAGTTCATGAGATCAGTGCATGCATGCGGTGGGGGCATCATCTTTGGCATGAACCCACCAAAATGGCCATTTCAAGACTGCCTACCTTAGTGTTCATCATCATCACCAAGACGAGCGCACGAGGATGAGCTAGGACGAAGAAGAGGATTGCTCTCCTGCTGCCAGGTGCGGGCGCGCACGAGGGTGATGCGGCCACGCACTGGTTGGCGAGGGCACGCCAGGTGGTGGCGCGGGCGCGCCTGCTATGGCCCTTGTTCCGTACCCATTTTCTCGCGGCCGCGCCTCTCTTGTTGCGACCGCGCATTCCGGGGTTTCTTTTGGACGATCTAACTAACTTTTATCTTGTTAGTTTACTATATATAGTTTTTCCTTCTATTTTTAGAGAGAGAATGATTAGAATAGAATTAGAATTAGTTTTAGATCAAATTAGAGATATTTTTAGTGAGAGAAACTCTAGGTTTTAGTGAGAGAATTTCAAGGTGGATTGTTGATGATTGAAGATTTCTCCATTTCCTTTGATTTTTGATCAAGTTTGTAAGGATTCCTTTTCTTTAATTCAATCTTTAGTTTGATCTTTAGTTTAATTTCAATTGTTTTGTTGAATGTTCAAGTTTGATTGAAGTTTGATTGATTTGTGATTTAATTTTAGTTTGTTTAATTTGATCATGACGAATTTGTTCTTTAGCTTTGTTTTGATCTTGATTTTTATGGATTGTAAGTAGTTTGATTGCTAGGGTAATGGTGAAACATATATAAGTAATGGATTGATGTTAATTTGGGGAAATTGATGGATTTGATGATGTGATTAAATTGGTTAATTGATTATGTGCATGTGTGTGTTTTATTTAGGCTTGATCACCCTAGTTATTCACACTAGATTGCATTGTAGGTTCACATTGATACAGACCATTGATTTGTGGCTTGCATTTAACGATTGAGGTGTCTTGTGACGTTCCTAGCTAGAGTTTACCGTAGTTGACGCTAGCTTGATATGCTCTTTTGGTTGCATGATCGGTTTTCCCTCGCATCACTCGACTTAGTCAACTCTTTCCCAATTAGCGGAATCCATTACGAGTATATGTGGATCCCGAGCCCTAGTGTTTATTACATTTGTCCCAACCTAGCTTGTTTAGTTGTTTAGCATTCACACCCTTACCTCACCTTTCCGGAATAGCTTGACTTGACAATATAAGATCGCCCTCCATTCCTTAGTGGTTCGACCCTCGACTTACCATTATACTTGTATAAGGGTGTGTTGAGAGATTACAAATTTAGTTTGGCCTAGGGTAGGGTTAGTTTCAACGACCTAGTCCGACCCCTTGTCACTTACAAATTGGCTTTGCCAATGGAGTTCGAGAAAATGCATGATGTGTTCCACATTTCCCAATTGAAGAAGTATGTGCCTAGTGAAACCCATGTTTTGCAGCTAGAGACTATTTTTTGAGTAATTAGGTTTTGAGGTTTTTATGATTGTAAACTAATGATGATTATCTATCTAATATGTTTGTTAAGTTGTGCATAGAAAGAACAAGTTATACTTGGAACAGGATACAAGGAACCTGAGCAATGAAAAGTATGTATATAAGGAACTTAAGCAATATATGATAAGCAATAGAAGAACAAGAACAATGATGAGTGTTATGGTTGATAAGCATGATGATGGCTAAGGAACCATGAAGGTAACTATGTAAATAGGTGTTTGCATAAGTTAGCTTCATGAGGTAAGTACTCTATACATACGTGAGTCGTATATGTGTAGGAGTATTTACATAAGCTTTAATTTTAATTAGTTCTCTCACTTGGAGTTTGTTTATGATAAACAAACTTCAATCTAATGTTTCTCTTAAGTGTTCATGTGAAGACAGGAACTGACTTAGGTGAAGTCAATGGGTTGGAACATAGAAGACTTTAAGAGGAACAAGAGGGAATGAATGAACCTAAAGCAGGTTCTCCCACAAGAACCAAACCACGAAGGAATCAGAAGATATTCTCTAACGAGATGCAGAAGGAACCTTTGGCAGGCTTTCCCACGAGAGCCGGAGCATGTTCCCTAATAGGTACATGAAGAGTTCCATGTTCCCCAACATGTACATGAAGAGTTCCCTAACAGGAACTTAATTCCCTAACAGGATCGTTCCCTAACAAGAACTTATCGTTGCCCCGAGAACTAGAATACATCAATACTACAAGATTCCAGAACAAGAGTTTCAAAGAAACAACATGAAGACGAAGAAATCGAAGTATATCGCTCTAGGATTCATGTAAGTATGTTGGACATAAAAGTCAGTCTGGAACAAGTCTAAAGAACCAAGGTGAACTCATGATAGTCAATGAAATTAGAGTTACTGACTTGTCAGGAACTCAGAGACTGTCAGAGTTCCGAAACCTAATTGGAACTTACGTCTGCACGTCGTTAAAGGTCGCAGGTCGAATTTAATGATATATATTTATCTAACACGTGCATACCTTTTAAGGATTTGGTTTTACAGAATAAAGATATTTACTTTCTAATAAATCCTTGTGGAAAAAGATAAGTTATTTTTGGAAAATATTTTCAGCAAAATAAGTTTTAAATAAAATCTAATTTTATGGCAAGTATATCTTTTGTAAAAAGATATGGTAATTATATCTTTTTTAAAAAGATATGGTAAGATATATTAGTATATTTGGAAAATATAAGATTTAGATAAAATCTGATTTTATGGTAAATATATCTTATTATTATTGATTAAATATATTCTTAACAAAAGATATATTTATGGAAAACTTATTTTTGGAAAATATCTTTTATTTCTATCTTTTAATAAAACTTATCTTTTACGAAAAGAATAATTTGGGTGTACTATAAATATGCTCATATGTATTCATTCAAAGTCGAGGTTGACGAAGTGCAGTGGTCGTGCTTAATGGTTTCATCCTTCACCACGAAGCTAAGTCAAACCTCCAGGTCGAAGTTCCAGTCAGGTTCTGGTTACAGTTCGTCCAGTAAGTTCCAGATAGATCTTGAAGTGTCCAGCATATTAGTTTTATCTCTTTATTCATTGATATGTATTTAGAGTTATTCTTTGAGAGCTTATAATTGGGAAAAAGGGTTTTGAGTGTTTTATGTATTGGGGTGTGAGAGTTCGTGAGGATTCTCGTTTTTATAATATTGTATTGTAAGAGTGCAATGTGTGAGCTTCTAGGGTGAAGCCGAATGAGCTTCTAGTGAGAGGCCGAGTGTAGGCACTTTGGGAGTGCTGAGTGAATCTAAGTTTGGGACTTAGATTGGGTAAGATAGGGTCTTATCGTGTAGCAAGTTTAGTCAGGAACTTGTGAGTAAAGGTCTGTCACTTAATAGGTTTGTAACTTGGTGTTTGCCCTATTATAGTGAATTGGTTTGGCTTGAAATCCCTAAGGTAGGGTCGAGGTTTTACTTCCAGTTGGGCCCTGGATGGTTTCCTCGTAAAATCCGCTTTGCATTGTCTAAGTTCCTAACAGCAATCAGTTTTATATTCCGCGAAAAGTAGGCACTAGGAACATACTACAATTCACCCCCCCTCTTGTAGTATATCATCCGAATTAACACTATTCAACTAGATGAGTCTCTAAATTATGAAGAAAGACCAGTCAAGATAATAGATCACAAGGTGCGTAGCACTAGAACCAAAGATGTGAAAATAGCGAAAGTCCTTTGGTCGAACCAGAAGTACGAAGAGGCTACTTGGGAGGCCAAGGAAGAGATGAGGAACAAGTATCCCGAGTTATTTGACGAGGTGAGTTACGAGGGCGTAACTCTTTTCTTTTGAGGGGGGTAGAATGCGTTGTAATTTCGCGCTTTTACCTCAACTATACCATTTATTGTTTGATTTTGCATGCTTTTGATTATTATTATGCATTACTATTGCGTTTACATACAATAAAAGTATGTAAACTCTGGCCAAGTATGAGTTCATTGAGTACAAAGTTCAGTTTGTTGAATATGCATGTAAAGGATCAAGCAATTTACAGCAATACAAAACATAAAAGTTTGAACAGTTTTGGAGAAATTATGATTTTTGGGTTAAGTTTCAAGGGCGAAACTTCTTTTAAGAGAGGTAGATTGTAATCCCCCATATTTTTCTAATATAATTATTTATTATTTATACAAATATTTTAATTTCAGTTTTATAAGTATGAATTATTTAATGTAAAAGTAATAAAATTTTCTTTATTAGTAAGTTAAAACAACTAAGTTCTTATTTAAATTATAAGCCTTTCTTAACTTAGTGGCCCAAATACTTAATTCCTATCCAAACCCAAATTACCCAAATCCTAATCCTAATAAAGTTAGAGAACTAAAACCCAAATAAAATAAAACCCTCACCTATTCTTCTTCTCTCTTTCACGTGAAACAAAAGAAAAAAAAAACCCTCAAATCTTTTCCTCCTCCCTGTTTCACGACTCAATACAAAAAAAAAAAAAAAAAAAAAAAAAAAAAAAAAACTCAAGTTGATGCCGCTGCTCCAGACGCACCACCACCGCCGCCCAGCCGCACCTCCGACCACCCAAACGAACCACCGTACAGCAGCCCTACAGTTCGCCCCTCTTCCTCCCTTTTTCCTCACTTCTTTTGTTTTGTTTTTTTATTTAAAGCTTCAATTTTTATTTGATTTCAATTCTAAATTATTGTTATTATGGTTTGATTTTATATATAAGTTATAAAATATTATAAATTTATGAGTTTTAGCATTTTAATTTATTATATAAAATTTCAGACTATATATGTTGTATAATTTAGGGTTTAAACCTTGATTTTTCATGTTTTAGGGCTTGATAAATTATATATTTTGTGAAATTTGAGTTTTATGTTGTTTATTTGAAGGGTTTTAAGGTTTTAATGTGTAATATACTATTCTAACTATTGAATTATGAATGTAGATCTTCAAAAGTTTGAAATTTATAATTTAAATTATTTTTTAGATAATCTGATTTTTATTAGTTTTGAGCCAAAAATAAAGTTTTAGAATGCTTCTATATGTTTTAAACAACTATTTATGCAATATGATAAGTATAGATTATTTGAATTGCAAAAACTATTAATAAAACAAATTTTCAGCATATGTTAGTAAGTTAAACTTGCTGTAATTTTATATTATACGCTATATTTTCATGATTTTAACATATAAACTTATAGTTGGGATGTTATATTATTATTATTAACTAAGGGGAACAATTTAAAAGCTCTATTTTGATGATTTAAGAGGTTTTAAAGTAGTTTATTATTGCTGTAAATTTATTTGCTTGGGTATTGATTTATTTCTCATTGTTTGGTTTAGGAGAGGACTTTGTAGAAGGTGACTTCTAGTTCTAAAGTGGCCAACCGAATTGTTTACACAAGGTACATACAAGTTACGAAACCTTGCTTTTAGGTGCACGTTTAAGGACGGATTGAGAACTTAGTATCATGTATAGGGATGACTGGGTTAAATTGTTTGGTTATACATTGTGAATTTCATATAATGTGCACTATTTTACATTGCAAGTATTATTTGTGCTCTAATTATGCAAGGTGCGCTTAGAGGCAAAGGTATGTGATTGGTGTAATGATTAATTTATTACTCATTCGTGATTATGCAAACAGGATGAGTAAAGGAAAAATTTAAGTCTTATATGACGAAGTTAAGTTTGTGGGGTGCCTTATGCACTCAAGGTGTTTATACACCGAGGTAGTTAAAGGATTAAATAATAAATGTTGTTTGTCACTAATAAATCAAGAATTGAAATTGGAAACTTGTCTTACTTGATTGAATTGTTATCGGAATGTTTGTATTGTTATGCATATGAGTCATCACTAAGTCTAAACCTGTAAATCACGTAAAGTGCAAGATGGATGAGCAATAAAACTCTGGATTGGTGCACATCTGGAGTAATGACAATCAGGGGTTAGGGTACACGGGGTATTAGTCGTTCACTTTTCTCGAGGCCGTCTGATCTACGAGTCTCCTATTTAAAATATTTTTTTTAAAATTAAGAGTTAGGTGAGATCTCATACTAACTACTGTCACGGAATCGCGCCCGTGGTCGTTGGATGTTTATTGATGTTTTCGAAAGGAGGCATGGGGTTTTTCTTTTATTGATGTTCCAAATGGAGCATGGGTTGGACAACCTTGTCTATTGTGTAATCCAATGAATAAATATAATGATTTACCTATTATTAATTAATGGAGTCTTAGTAATATAAATAGTTGAGTCATGTGTCGAGTCTATAAACTAATGATGCGTGATGATTGATTATTAGTAGCATGTTAGGGATTTCTTTTATGTTTTGCAGCTTGTATGTACTCAGCTTTGCTGATTACGTGATTTGTGTGTCTTTCTTTGGTCATGGCCTTCGCCTTTCAATGACCCAGTGACGATCCAATTTTTACACTTGTACTATTGGGGAGCAGATTAACCACAGGTTCTTACACATGCAACATCCGTTTCTAGATGGTGGCACTAGTAGAAAAATGGTAATTGGCACCGAGCCATGGCCACCGGTTTTAGAAAACCAGTGGGGAAGAAAAGGGGAAAAATGGGGGCGATTTTGAGGGAAGAGTATTGCCACCGGTTCAAAACGAACCGGTGGGAAAATATTAATCCCACCGGTTTTGAACCGGTGACTTTGTTAAAAAAAAAAAAACCGCGCTCATATGAATAGGCCAAAACCCTAGCCTATCATGCATCGCCTCCCTCCTCCTCCTCTCTTCTCTCTCTCTCTTCTTTCTCCTCTGCTTCTCTCTCCTCAACTAGCTAGATCTCTCTGCTTCTCTCTCATTATCAACAACCATCATCGCCGCCGCCCTTCTCTCATCTATCTCTCATCTGCTTCTCTCTCGTTCTCTCATTAGGGCTCAGTTGCAAAATCGAAAATCTCCCCTAAAAACATAAAACTCCGGCGAAAGCTCAACAATGGCGGACGGAGGCGACATGGAAATCTCTCTTGACAAACTCCCTATCAAACGCCTCGAAATCATCGAAGAATTCAGCGCCGATCGCTTCTCATCGTACATTATCTCTCCTCCATCTTTACAATAGCTTAATTTGACCTAATTTTTCTGTAATTTTTGTTGATTTTGATTTTAAATTATGGAATATTTTCAGCGACATCGAATACGAAGAGAAATCGGTGAACTTGATTCAGACTTCGCTTGGGCGTTGGAGAGAGATGCGAAGAAGCAGAAGAAGACGAAGGAATCATCAGCGCCCTCCACATTGCAAGAGGTGATTGAGAATTTGAGATTGGCTCATCAAGAGCTCTCTGTTATCATTGATCTAATTAACACTGTAAGCTCCTTTTTCTACCAATTACACTGATTTTATTTAATTATTTACTTTTTTTTTTCTGGTTGTTATGCTGTATAATCATGCCTAGAAGTAGTATATATATATATATATATATATATATATATATATATATATATATATATATATATATATATATATATATATATATATAGCTTTGGTACCATTAATTATTGTTGCGTTTTGTGGTTGTTTTCAAGTATTAATTGTACTCTAATGTTCACAAATTTGCTGCTCTAATTGCTGTAGTTGTTCAGTGGGTTTACAGCCTCATTTGGTCTTGATTTAGTTTGTTTCTGTGCCTAATATGGTATAGCATCATGTTAGATATATCTCTAAGTTAAAATATCATGTTTTGGATAAGTTTCGATATGATTATGAGCCTCAACCTAAGCAAAAGTGTTGCTGTCAGGTTAATTAGTGAACTGTGTGAATTGAGTGGTTTTAACTGATTTATTTCATAATTTTTATGCCTAATCTTGTGCCTATCATGACCTATTATGTTTTTAATGTGTATGTTAATGGGTTAAGGTTGATTATGAATTTTAGGTTGGTTGTAAGCAATTTTGTTATGCAATATGCTGTTGTAATCTTACTAGGGGCTGCTACATTTAAGCATGTTAAAGACATGAATTTAGCCCTTCTCATGAAGTTAATTTCCCTGCTTTCCTCGAGCCTTTTCATTGTCATTGCATCTTATTCACAGTTGAGCTCTTGGACATGAAGTTAGCCCTTCTCTTTGGAGAGAATTGATAATTGCATGATCATTTGAGCTTGAACATGGTGTTAATTTACTGGAATTTTTTTTTGTAGCTTTATTAATGAAATTTGCTATCTAACATCGTGGTTGTTATCAATGTTGTTCACCCCAAAGATGGGTGACCACCAGCTCATATTAGGTTGAGAAATTTTATAAGATTATAATTGGAGCTAGTTTGCTAATATTTTTGAGGGACTATGCCATCTCTTTTGCATTATTACCCCAAAATTGCTATTGCTCAGGCTGATTACTTGTTTGTTTGCTTGGACAGCCAGGTTGGTTCTTGCTTTGGGGGCTAAACCAAAGCTCGACATGGTACCAAGGGCTGTAGAATATGCTCTGCCATTTTCCACTTTTGAGGATACATGTGTAAGTATTTGAGGTATTAAATTGATTGCTTTATTTGTTAGGTATTTGTACTTACCTTGATGTTGGCGTGGGGCATTACCCATATATATTTGACTCTTTGACTATATGACTACTTACAGTGGATTGGGTTGACTGTAAGGAAAGCAAAACACAAAATTCCAGTTACTATTGACACTTTAATTCTAGTTGAAATTTACAATGTAGAGAAAAATAATTATAAATTGCTCTGTGGATTCTCTTGTTACATCAGATACTGTAATTGAACAAGAAACTACCTATCATTGGAATGAGTGCATCTGGAGAATCTAGACTTGGAGGATAATTATTGTGTCTTGTCTTTCCTGATATGTTTTGTTTAACCTTCATTACTTGCCTAGCATTATGATATCCTTGCTTATTTGGTTAATTATCAGTTGTGTAGAATCTGTAGATTAATCTCTTGCCTACAACATATTTCTATTCTTGCTCTTTTCTCATTGTATTACTTGGCTATTACTCTCTTGTCTGCTTCCATTTCTTATATGTCCTGTAATTTGGATGTTTGCTTCCATCTCTTATACTAAATATGCAATCCTTGTAAATAGAAGCCATATTTTATTTGTTTTATAGTCTGCATAAGTTTGTTTGTTTCTTGAGGTTGGGTTGTCTCACAAGGTTCTCTATGGAATGCATGTATGTTTTTCCTGTGCTGGTAAATTTTTCACCATGTATATTTTCAATTCTAATATGTTGCTCTTATAAAGTTCCCATAACACTCATATTGATGGTACTTGGCCTGTGGACATTTTAAAATCATGTAATATGATCACTTCTGGTTTGTGTGCTTAAAGTTGTGCGTTTTCACCTTGCTCCACTTTCTTGCTCTCTACATGTTGTAGAACTACAGGAAAAATGAGGAGACTGCGGTTGAGAAGATAAAGGAGCCTATTTTTTATGAGATCACTCATGCCTTAATCGGACGCTATGGGTTGAATTTCACCAGACAAGATATATCTTCTCTCCGGTTTTAATGCAAGCAGGTGTGTGTTCATGTGAAATCATAATTTATTAGATGTATAGTAGATATCTCTTCTTCTTCTTCTTTTTTTTTTTTTTTTTACTTTTTCTTTTTTTTTTCTCTATTTTTGTGACAACTTGCTTTTGTTATGGCATGAAGCATCATTTCTAGACATAACTAATCAAGCTTGTGGTCCCTTTGTTGCATTCATCATTGCTAGACTAGACATGGACTTGTAGTTCTCCCTTTGTTGCATTCATCCTTATATTTTTTTCATTTTCTATGGTTGTTTTCTTGTGAATGATGCATTGAATATTAGAACTATAAGTGGCATTAGATGTAGGTGGCCTGGCAAGGCTGCAACTACTACTGCCCTGCCGAGGCTGCTGCTGCAGGTGGCCTAGCAAGGCTGCAGCTGCTGCTGCCCTGCCGAGGCTGCTGCTGCAGGTGGCCTAGCAAGGCTGCAGCTGTTGCTTCCTTGCCGAGGCTGCTGCTACAGGTGGCCTAGCAAGGAACTTTGATCCTCTTGTATTAAAAAATTGTCTTATTCTATTTGTTAAGATTTGCGTTTTTAAATTATATAATCTTCATTAACTAATCTCAATTTCTATTGCTTTCTTGATTTGCAGGTTCCATAATTTCATCTAAGAAGTTCAATTTGTTTTACTAAGATATGGGGCTGCTTCTGTGCTGGTGTTCTGCTCCTTATGTGCTGTTGTTCTGCTCCTTATGTGCTGTTGTTCTGCACTTCTGCTACTGTGTAGCTGCATATGTTTGTAACCTTGTAATTTATTTTAATTTTTTAGACAAAAATTGTAATATTACAGCATTTTTTTATGAAAATATGTAAGTTTATATATATGTTAGTGTTTATTTATCAATTTAAGTGAAAAAAATGCAAAAAAAAAAAAAAAAAAAAATTTAGCCATTATTGCCACCGGTTTTGAATAGGAACCGGTGCCAATAACCCCTTTAAAAAAACCCGGGAATGGTTTTTGCCACCGGTTAACCGGTGGCAATACTTGTTTTTGCCACCGGTTTTGAACCAGTGGCTTTTTAGAGGAGTATTGCCACCCCCCAAATGCCCAACGGTTCAAAACCGGTGGCATAGGGGGGTTTTGAACCGGTGGTCTTGAGTGGAGAGTTGATTACTTTTCTTATTTTTATTGTTACTTTTGAAGTTATTTAAACTCAACTTTGCTTTTGTACTATTTCTATTGGTTTGAGTTTTGAATAAGGGCCTTAATGGTTCCAAGTTGTAAGATGTAGTTTGGTTTTAGTATTTGGTTTTTGAAACTTATAAATAATTGATTTAGTTTTTCCGCTGCTATTTTCTGAAAAAGCCTTAACGTTTGAACAAACGTGGCGGTAGCACGCCAGTAATTATCTTGAATATTGTTCAGGGTCCTCACAGGTTTAAAGAGAGAATTATTGGGGTGTTACAACTTTGGTCCACTCAGCAATTGGACCACCCTTAGTGGTGGTTGAGGGACTAAATTCAACCATTTGAAACTATAGGGACTAAATCCAAACAAACCCCAAACATAAAGGACAAATCTTATACTTTACTCCTAAATCGGTCAACAAAAGTCAATGACCTGTTACAACATGTTATGTATGTGCCACGTGTTAAACTGTAGTTGGTCTAAAAAAGAAAAATCGATAAATAAAAATACCCAAAAAAAACTGTAACCTCTACCACCGTAACTCCCACCACCACCACCACTTGTCGCCAGCCATCCGCGCCTACACTTCCATTCCCCTGCCCCGATAATGCGTCGCTTCCCCCCCCCCCCAAACCCCATGTGCCGGTGTTGCAACCCACCTCTACCCCCAATCCCTTCCTTTTCCGAATCGCTTTTCTGCCCTCCACAACCGAAACTCCCTTTAAACCCCTCCAACCATTAAAAACACCCTTGAAACCCTTCTCTCTCACTTTCAAAAACCCCCAATAGCCACTTCCTCATTGTCAAAAACCCTAGCCACTAGGGTTTTGAGGTAAGCGGAGGCACGGAGCGGAGTGGTGATTGGAGGTTTTCTAAATAGAGGAGGGGTTTTATTGGTGGTTGCGTAGGGGTTTCGAGGAGGGGGGACTGTGGTTTAGAGGGAAGCGTCGAAGCAGCGACTCTAGTGGTGGGGGAGGGACGACGGTCCGGTGAGGGAGGTGGGTGGTTGGGGCTTTGGCTGGGTGGGTGTTTTTTATTTTGGTTGGGTGGTTGGGGCTTTGGCTGGGTGGGTTTTTTTTTATTTTGGGTTTTTTTTATATATTTGTTAACCAATTAATTTGCGACATGTGTCACTTTAACAAAAAAATAATAATTTAACTCATTCAACTGGTATCCAGTTTTGGGAATGAATTTTAACAACCCCCAAAGTTTCAGATTATTCCAGAATAATCCAAAGTTGGGATTATTGAAACAAAATGTGTGAAAGTTGGTATTATTATTTCTAATTTTTCCTGAAAAATAAAAAAATAAAAAAAAAGAGTAAAAACCTTTAATTTGGGTGGTGGATTGGTGGGTTGGTTTGGGTCGACTTTGTTAATTGATTCAATTTTGAAAGTGGTCAATTGATTCGATCTAATTATTTATTGTATGGTTTCAAATCAGATCAAGTCATAATATGATTGGATTAAAACAGGTCACGTTGGAAGCTAGTTTAGCTGGACTAAAAGTGAGTTCAAGTCATATTGGTCATACCATATTTAGATTTGGTCTTTATTGGTAGGGATAATAGGATAATGGACTAAGATTAGTCAGTTAAAACAAGATCACTTGGCTTGCAGGTCAATTTAAGCCGAATAAGAAGATTAGTGGCTCTGTATGATTCAATTGAATTTTAGTCAAGTTGAAAATGAATTTAGTTGAGTTAAAGTGGATTTGGTTTCATATCAAGTCGAGTCTTAAACAAGTTACATTATTTCAAGTATTGACTTATATACGAATGATAAATCATTGACTTATCATTAGATTATGTCCAGATTTTGTTAAATTATGTCTTAACTATTAGACTACATAGATTTAATTATGAGTTAATACTCATTACCACTTCATTATCAAGTCATTAAAGACTTCTAATATGTCACTTTAGAGTGCATTATAATCGAGTTATCAGCTAAATATTAAAAGTATTAAAAGTTTAAATCAGATAATAATTAAGTATATACCTCAATTTAAAGTGTAAAGAATATGAATTCATGTAACTTATATAGCTCTATATCGACAAAAGGTGATAATTCTGACAAACTTGGCATTGATAATTTGCAACTTTCACCATTTTTCATATCTCACACTTTATTTAGTATTTTGATGCAAAATGTACTTTTCTTAATGTTCTCCCCTCCCCTTCTCCGACCCCCCCCCCCCCCCAAAAAAAAAAAAAGTTGGTCTTGAATTATGTAAACACACATCTTTAAATGGGTGTTTGGTACATGGAATTTAGAAAAAGGGCAACTTCGTAAGGGGATTAAGAGAGGTTGATTGTTGTATTGACAATTTACCATTCTTTTTCCCCTCTCCATTCCCTAAACATCTTCTAACTTGATTCCCTAACTCCTTAGGTATTCATATTCTCTTTCCTTAGCCACTAATACACTACACTATTGTCACCCACCACAACTGATCCACCATTACCACCAACTTACCACAACACCACCACTACCACCTGTAATACCCCGCAATGTTCCATATGCTATAAATTAAATGTTAATTTGAACTTTACCACCCCTATAAAGCCTACTTTTATTATTGGGAATTATCTCTGGTAACATTGTACTTTCTTTTTTCTCTTTGGTATATTGTAAAAATTTGGATTATCAACGGTAATCATCAATTAGTAATATTAAGCAATCGGTGACATTAATGACATTAAATCTTAATTATGACTATCATAGTTTACATACTAATAATAAAATTAAATACCCTTATAAAAATCCTTTCCCTCCAAATATTTGCTACTCATGTCCCTCCTAAATCAATTAAATTACCCCTTTATATAAACCCTAAACCTCCTATTTCTTATTCTATTCTTTCTCCTTCTCTATTCTCATTTTCTTTGAATTCTGTCATGCTAACTCTTATTCTTCTTGTTTGATGCGGGGCTATCACCATGGCTGACAATATTACTTGAGTGAAATTTGTTTCTTGCAGTTGTGTTCTCCCCCAAGGTGGCTTCATTCAAGATTTCAGAAACCACAAAGAACCCACGAGGGTTACTCTACAAGTGCAAGCTTGCAATTTTTTTTTGCATTGCAGGAGGAGAAAGATTTAATCAACGGATGAATTGGAAGTGGAATAAAGTCCTATTAGTGTCGTGAAAGGAAAAACTATATGAAATCAGGTGATTTATATCAAAATTGTTGTGCTAAAAATGTCCCTGATTCTGTACTTTATTATGTTATTTGTGGTTTCAAAGAGATATGTGCAATGTAATGTAAACTGATGCACTATGTAATTATGTGAATCTATGCAATGATTTAAGTATGAAGAAAAAAGAATTAGTGATTTTAATTTATGATATAAATTGCAACTAATTCTTGTTTATAACATAACTGTTAGTTTCTCCAAAAAAAACCCTAGCATAAAAAATTCAAACTTGTCCAAAAATAATACAAACAATTACAATGCAATAATGCAAAACACAAATAATCCACATAAGAAACTATTCAAAAGCTTCAACAATATAAACTATGTCAAATATGTAATATCAAATTTAATTAAATCTATAAAACTAAGCAGATTGTGATGTTGAAACACCCTTTTTAGCTTAGCCCTCTTTGAAGTTCTTGGTGGCTTTGAATATTTGATGTTGATGCAATTGTAGTGGGGTCAGGCTAGGACAAAGATGGCTATTTAGTTGATGATTGTTGGTGTCTTTTCTTTCTCAAACAAGTCCCCTTGACAACTTAATGACTGTTGTTGCACTTGATACCGTATGTTGTTTATTCTTGTTCACAAAAACCTAACACATGATCGAGCACAATCATTTTTGAAATTTTCAGCCAACTTAATTATGTAAAATCAAACAAAATTCACTATTCCGTAGAATACATACCTCTGTACTCGAATTCAATTCTCTTAATCTTCCATCCTCAAGCTACAATATAATCCAAGAACTATCTTTTCCTTGATGTAAAATTATGTCACATGTGAATAGGAGAAGAAGTTGAAATGGTGCGCAGTATTCCTTTTATAATGTCTCCAAAACGACGTAGCTACATGTATGGCTAGAAAAACCAATTGGTTTCCTCGATAAAAGTGCAAAGTGTACAAAAGAATATCAGTTTTTAATGTTAACTCACTCTTAACTTATGACCATATATTTTCTAATAACGTAAGGGACTATGCTTTGGGTTGTATTTAGTCTTTTTAGCCGGAATCCAATCCAGAGCACTCCATGTCCCAAACTATATAATAAGAGGAAAAAAATATAGTATCTGTAGACACCTAAAAATGTCTCCCCAAAACCAAACCCGATGATGAACAACCTTTCACCGCCACTATTGGTCGGGTTCAGTATTTAATCCCAAGAGTGCTTAAAAAAATCATATTTAATTCAATTTTTGAATAGTCCATGGGTCAGTCTTGATGTTTGGTCAAAGCATAGTTTTAATTTCAGCCCAAACTTATTTTACTTTTTTATTATTATTATTATTATTTATTTTGGCCCAAACTTTTTATTTATTTTTATTTACTTAATTATTATTTTGGCCCAAATAAAAATAAATCAGAAAAAGGCCCGAAATTATCAATCGGCATTTAAAATGCTGAACGAAATTAGGGTTAAAAATGAAATTAGACGGAAAAGCGGACTGAAAACTCCCGTGTCACGGCAACAGTCCACCGTGTCACGGGAAACTTT